CATGAACAGACATTTTTCCAAAGAAGACATCCAAATGGCCAACAGACACATGAAAAAGTGCTCAACATCGCTCGGCATCAGGGAAATCCAAATCAAAACCCCAATGAGATACCACCTCACACCAGTCAGAATGGCAAAAATGAACAAGTCAGGAAACGACAGATGTCGGGAATGCAGAGAAAGGGGAACCCTCCTATCTTTCTCCAGTTTAATCACATGTAAAACTATTCACCTTCAAGATTCAACTCAAAATTTACTCACTTCTGAAACCTCTCCGGGTTCATTTTCCACTACCCACTCTGATCTCAAAACTCTAGTAGAACGAGATAGTCTCTCCATGGTGCTGACTGTACATTTATCACGTCACATTGTCTTGTACCTGTTAGATACTTGTCTTCCCACTTAGATTGTATAGTGTCAAAACGGCAGGGCCCATCTGTAGGGACCCAATCTCTAATTCACTGCCTTAGTAATCATTCACTTAGGTTTACATAAAGTATTAAGATTCTGTGTCAGTAACTTATTTCATAATTATTTTGGGTTTTTATTCCATAGGTTCCTCCTCTGGGGCATGGTCCATTTGGTATCAGCTTTCTTTTCTCGTCTCACATGCCTACACTCTACTTTCTGTTGGTCTAGACTTTTTCATACACATAGGAAGTCCGTATAAGCTTTATTTGACATTTTTAATGTCTCAAAACTCATCCTCATATCTCTCCTCCTCAGCCTACACAAGTTGTAGACCCAGAGAGATTCTAGATGAGAAGACATAGCTGAGGTACTTTGATTTAATTTTTGCTTAAAGTTGAAAAAAATGGGGAAAAAACAGAGAATGCTGTAAAAAATTCATGTTCCACTATTCAGAATTTACATTTTGACATTATTTTCTTCAAATACTTGGTAATAGAATAAATCATTTAAATAAAAGCATTGAAGAAAAAGGGAAGTATCCATTATCCTATCATCCTCCTTAAGGAAATCCCAATTGAGTAGAATTTGTACTTATTTATAAATATATATAAGTAATATATATATTATTTTTTAAAACCTGTAGGATGAGATTTTTGTGTTTTTTTCCTAAACTTACACAATTATTGTCTACTTGCAAAATGCTCTTTCCTTCAACATTGTAATTTTACTGTGTTGTAATCTACCTTAAGAATGTACCTTGTTTTATTACTTCATTACCCTACTGGAAATGGAAATTATTTATTTTTGTCCTGGTATAAAAGACATGCTTCAATGTTTCTTTAAGTATACATCTACAAGTGGAGCTAATGGATTTGGGTTGTAGATACTTTTGACTTTACAAGGTACTGCCAAATATATACGGAGACCTTACTCCTCTTTGTCACCACTTGATATTTTAATATTTTTTAATTGTTTCTAGGTCAATGGGTCAAAATCATGATCTCATATTTAATTTTATTTTTCTGAATAATAGTAATATTGAGCATCAGTACAAGTATCTGTTGGCGGCTAGGATTTTCTCTTCTGTGCAATGAGCATTTTTCTTTTATTTTGTACTTTCTTACTGATTTAAGATTTATTTGAGTTCTGAACTGAATATTCTCATAATTATATTGTAAATGTTTTAAAGTATTTTTGTTTTATTGTAATGTTTCTGTGATGTCTTTTTCATTGGAAGGTTTTGTTTAAACTCATTTATCAATCTTCCTTTCTTCAATTGTATATGTATATGTATCTTATTGAAGAATCCCTTACTTTTTTAGGTGCATAAAGACACTCCCTTTTTTTCTAAGCATTATGATCTCATTACTAAGATTTCTTTAATCTATCTGATATATTTACATTATATTAGAGTGCTTTTGTTTGTCTCTATGTGGAAAACTATATCAATACTAAGTGAATTGTCTGTTCTATTTTCTACTAATATTTATTTCCCCATATGCCATTTACTAGTACCCTATTTATAAATATATCTATTTCTAGATTATCTATTCTGCTCCCTTAACCTGTTTGTCTATTCTTATGCTAATATGGAAAAGTCATTATTATTATAACAACCTTTATTACTTAATTATTGGAATCATCTTGGCTATTCTTTAAAATATCCCAATCCATCTGTATTTTAAAACCAAGTTCTCTGATAATTCTGGTTTAATTTTGTTTGGGGTTGTATGAAATTTATAAATTCAGCTAACTGTAATCAATTTTATTTATTATTGATTCTTCCTTTCATGAATATAATGCTTTAATCTATTTATTCAGGTCTTATATCAAACCTCATGAAAATTATTTCTAAATAATTTTTTCCCTAAGTCCTTTGGGATTCTATTGATAAAACAAATGAGATCTTCTATTAATTTATATATATGAAGAGTTATACTTTCTACATGCAAGATTATAATTTAATTTTGTATATTGGTCCAATTCTTGCTGAATTGCCATATTAGTTCTAATAATTAATTTGGATATTTTATTTTTTTAAATAATTACAGTTTAATCTCTTTTATTTTATTGCTTTAGCTCATAAAAATACCTCTGCCTGGTCCAGAAATAACAGCCAAAACAATAGTCATGTAGCCTAAGTCCCATTATGTTCTGGGGTGTTTGGAGTCTCCTCTTAGAGAAAGAGTTGGATACATGATCTAGGAACTAGACCTGATCCTTGCTCTTCCTGTTCCTCTAATTCTTTTAACTCTATTCTAGATTTTCTGATTAGCTTGTCTACATGATTCTTCCACAGACGTAGTAAAATCCATTTCAGGTTTTTCTATCAGTCCACCAGCCTGTGTGATCTGCTCTTTCACCCTGCATTCTAGCAGTCCTTGGGCTTTCAGACATAAAGCATAAGTGTTTGCAAGTTTTCTCCTGATGTCCTCAGCTACTGTTCTCCTTTGTCCTATGTCCAGCAATCCCAATATATTCAAGCCTTTAATTTTAAGCTTTAAAGACTAGCAGACTCTGTTGCTATTCTTCAAGATTCTAAAGTAGAAAACCCAGGACCACTCTCTTCCTTCATCATCTAGATTTTTGGATTATCAACCGGGCTCCCCACTCCAGGGGATGAAAACTATAGCTGTTGCAGATACCTGGTCACTGTTCACTCATGATGACCTGCAGGGAATGTTCTCCAACCCCAAGAGCCTGACTCTGTTATAAGAAGGTGTAAATTAGATATGTTCATGGTCAACAATTTTTATATAAGGGGAATACAGACATCCAATCACTAGCATCACATAGGGTAAATGTAAAAATAGGGATTATTGGAGAAAAACACATAAATGGAGAGAAGTAGCAGAGCAATCTATGTCTCATTATCCCATCCTTTGACACCCTCAGGAAAGTTTCCATTAATGATCTATATATTTATGGACAATAGGGAAGAATTACGGCAATAAAAAGTACCTAGACAAGCAAGTGGCCCATTGTAAATGCTTGTTCTGAGTGTTGTCATCAGGGTGGTCTTCCTTTGAGCTTACTCTGCCTTATTAAGTCAGGGTCTTTACTAAGCTTCTGAAATGTGGGAGTAATTGAACAGACATCCAGATTTCTCTCTCCTGAGATTGTATTTCCCACAGACTTACTCATGCATCACCTCTTTTTATTATTGAAATGTTTTGAGAACATTTATTTAACATAGTTAAGTGGAAAACAATCACATACGTATGCCTTTTCATGGCCTTTAAAAATTAGGCTGAATGAAGTTTATAAGGACTGTCCACTAGTCAAGACCCTGGACCAGACTAATCCATCTTGCACTCCCATTTCCTAAAAAGACTTTGACATATTTTTCTGCCATTCAAAGATGGAATACAGGTTTTTGTTTCCTTTTTCCTTTTTCAATAGCATAGTCCATGCAATGAAATTAAGAACAGCTTTATGTGATATTGCTTGAAGGCATCAAACATAATTTAATTATACCATTAATATTTCAGATGTTTTATTGAAATAATTGCTAGTTTCTGTTCAATATTCTTATCATATATGAATTTTTTATAGCAACAAACCAACTTAAGAGTTGCAGAAGACCAATGCTTCATAGAAGAGTACCGATGAAACCATATATGAGTGAATATAATCATAGTGCCAGAATAAATTACAGATGTTTGTGGGAGGTCAAATACATGCAGTCAGTCTGCATAAATGGGAAATGGTATCCTGAACCAGACTGCAGAGGTAAGGTTTGTTTTAAAGATTTTGTAGACCTTGTTACATCTTTATCAGAAAATTTCTCTTGTAATCAGTATGTTTTTAAATTAAATTATTTATTGTGATGTGTAATTTTTTTAAAAGATTTTATATATTTATTTGAGAGAGAGCACAAGTAGGAGGGAGAGGCAGAGGGAGATGGAGAAGCAGACTCCCTGCCAAGCAGGGAGACTGATACGGGGCTCAATCCCAGGACCCCGAGATCGTGACCTGAGCTGAAGGCAGACACTCAACTGACTGAGCCACCCAGGTGCTCCAACATGTAATTTTTAAGTTGATGAAGTTCGAGACAACTCATAACACTATTTTCAGACAAATATTATCATTTAAAAACCCTTGCCTTCTGGTAAAGATGATAGAGTAAGCCCATTTTTACTCTTATTACAAACTCTTGAAATTATAAAAGAAAAAAAAAAGAACTGTAACAATAGAACAAAAACTCAACCTTCAATGACATTAGGAAACAACTAAAACCCAATGACATTGTGAAGGACCAAAAGTAGAAAATAGGGAAGAAAAATGATCTGATTAAGAAATTATTTTCATAAGATTAAATCTCACATTCCTCAAAGGCTTATTTTCAAATTATTTGAGTAACAGGACTATAAATTACAAACAATTATAAAATGGGCACCATGTTAAATTAAATAAACCAGATATAGAGAAGATAGAGTTCTTACAGAGAAATGACAATAAAATAGAAAAAACAGAGTAGACTTCAGACTTCTCACCAGCAACATAAGAAGCCAGAATAAACACAGTAATATCTCCAAAGTGCTTAGAGAAAGTAATTGGCAACCAAATGTTCTCTATACCAAATTATTTATGATTACATGTGATTATGATGATTATAAAGACATTTTAAACATAGGAAAGACCAAGAGAATTTACCACTTGAAATCATCCTTTGAAAGAAATCATATAAAATATATACCAATCAGCAAGGAAAAGTATTAATTCTTAACAAAAGAGTGTGATGTCATTAGAAATTGTGAGTAAAAAGTAGAATATGTTAAATTTAAATAAGCAATAATTTCAAGAAGATAATGTAACTAATTTGTTTAAAACAAGTAAAATGTTTTTATTTTTATTAAATTTCTTTATTGAATATATTTGTATTTTTATGTAAGGAAGAAATATTGTTCTGAGAGTTTCAAGAATTTTAAAACCTTTTCTATGCCTCTGGAATGTTTACTTAAATCAACCACTTACTGTGCATTAAATAATTCTCACACGTTTCAAATATTAATACCCTATAGATCACTTTCTATAACCACAAAGAAATAATATTTAAAATAATAACATTTATCTACTCCTCTACCCTTCAATTTGTGAAATAATGCACTTCCAAATGACTTGATAATATAGTGTTTACAATACTAAGAACTATATGATAGTTGTAAGAACATATAGTAAAACCTATGAGATGCAACCTACCCAAAATTTGGGGTGACATCATAGCCTTGGAGATATCTATCTATCTCCCCAAAAGTTAGGAAAAGTTAACTCCAGATATTAGGAGGTAAGATAATAAAAGTAAAAGCAGTGTGAATGAAATAGAATATTTTACTTACAGCTGATCCATGAAATAATACTAATTTTGGAAAAGATTAATAAATAGACCTTCTAATCAATTCTACTCTAGTCAAGAAGAATCGTGGACAGGTCCAAATAGGCATTTCTATAACCAAAAAGCAGACAAAAATACAAATATAAGAAAAATAATATAAGAATACAATTTTGAAAATAAATTAAAAACATAACTGAAAAGGAAAATACCATGAAAAGGGCATTTACAGATCTTGGGAGAATGATGTTTCTGGAGATTTCCCTCATCCAGGGGTATTTGCCTTGGCAAAACTCTACCAGCCCTGGATTTTGAGTCCATTTCTCCATTGGAGTTATTTCACTCCCCACGGTTGACTTTTCGGGGAGAGCCCTTTTAAGACAACCCACAGCTGGCCTTTTCCCATGGGTTCACTTCTAGCCACTGAGGCTATGTCTTTAGGAGTTTTACCAGACAGACCACTTCAGTTCATCTTAAATTTTATGTGGGTCAGAGACTATTCCCTGTACCATTAATTCTATAACAGTTGTTTAGAAGCTTTCTACTTTCACTTGGCTTAAGTTCAATGGGAGTTTTCCCTTCTCTCTCCCATGATATACAGACAGCACTTTTTAAAGAAACCTTCACTACTGGCTCTTTAAAACTCATTTCTTTAGCTTCTCATGTCTGTAATACTAGTTTAAAGGTGGCAGAGTATATTTTATAATCTCTTGGCATGTGTTATAAAAGTTGTTTATCATGTTACTTTTTTATTTTATATTTTATTTTATGTTATGTTATTTTATTTTATTTTTGGAGACAGAGAGCACAAGCAGGGATGGGGGAGGGGGAGGGGCAGAAGGAGAGAGAGAGAATCCCATGCAGACTCTGTGCTGAGCAGAGCCTGACAGGGGGCTCCATATCAGGACCCTGAGATCATGACCTGAGCTGAAATCAAGAGGCAGCCACCCAACTGACTGAGCCACCCCAGCGCCCCTATCATCTCACTTTACATCTTGGTATAATTGAATTTGGAAGACTAGGCAAAAGAAATAAGAATATTCTTTTAATGCTCTGTATTGTATATACAAACATATATGGGTCTTAAAACATCATAGTTCATGAAAAAAGCAAGTTGCCTTACAATATGCTATAGCATAGCCCTTATAAATGCTAAAAAAATAAATTCACAGACACTAATAATATATTAAATGTGGATTCATATGTGTGTGTTTAGAGTAGAAAATAAAAACTGGAAATTACATATATGTGGTAGGATAAAAGGAAAAATGATGAAACAAGCTGGGCCACAAGAGTAACTTTACTATAGCTATAGAATTTAGCTTCTTTTATTAAGAAAAGGAAGAAGATAATGTTACTTATACCCTGAAAACAAGAAAAATCAAGATAAACTATAAAATTACAGTATTAAAAAAAAAAGTCCATCAGAGAGCTAAGAAACCAATAAATGAAATTCCAGAAATTTCTCTCCAAGGAAAAAAGAAGGTCACGTTTCTGCTTTCATCCTTCCTAGAATGGTGAGAGGGTGAGATAGCCATCAGAAACTTAAACGTAAATAAAATAGCAGAGTTTTTAAAGAATATTTACAGGTGGAATGAAGGCCGGCATGATTGTTAAAATTTCTAAGAGCTCAGAAACAAAAAAACATGTCTATCTTTTCCAAGTGCCCTGCTAACATCTGATGTTAGGGCAAGAAAATCTAAATAAAGCATCCAGGAAGTCTGTCTACCGCACCCTCAGTGTTGAGATGACTTCAGGTTGCACACCTCTCTTCCCCTTGCATTCTCTTTGGAGTCCTGAGTTCCCTTTCCATACAGTATTTCTTGGTCAGGTTCTTCATCTTGGCAAAATCTACACAAAAAATCTTGGGAAAAAAAGAATGGAATTATTGTTTTATTGTTCCACACTCAGCACAGAGTCAGCTTGGGATTCTCCCTCTCCCTCTGCCCCTCCCACTTGTGCTCTCTCTCTCTCTCAAATAAATAAGTAAATCTTAAAAAAAAAAAAAAAGATTAGCCTGATATTACTGTTATTGTACATTTTCAATTAGTGAAGTCTGATTCACAGGCTGGAGGACAAGCTATGGATAGCACATGAAAAGAAGACCAGGCACATTCAGTAGATAGATGGGGCAGTTTATTATGCAGAAATTTTCCTACTTCAGTGTCTCATTTCCTCTTTGTTGAGGAATTTTGTAGTGTCATTTATTAATTTTTGTTATGTGTTCAAATATTTTTATTTAAATACAAATTTTAATCCAGTGGTTATAACATGGAAGTGCTTTGCAAACCATAAACTATGTTAAGGTAAATTATATTTGTTACTATACCATCATATGTATACATACACAAACACACACACACACACACAAACACACACACACACAGAGAAGGAGTTACTAGTTATTTGATGTTCCACTATACTGAAATTATAACAGCATTATGTTGTTGAGCTGCTTTCCTTAGCTTTTGTTAATGAAATAATTTAATTCCAAACTTTTTTAGAAAAATGGAAAGAATTCTGCCCACCTCCACCTCAGATACCTAATGCTCAGAATATGCTAACCACAGTGAATTACTGGGATAAAGCAAAAGTAGCTGTTCTCTGCAAAGAAAATTATCTACTTCACGGACCAAGAGAAATTGTGTGTGAAAATGGACAATGGCAGTCATTACCACAGTGTATTGGTTAGTAGTTTTTTTCTAAATAGTGCTACAAAAAAGTGTTTACTAATCTTCTTTGCTTTATTTAAAGAACAGGAAAAAGAACTTATGATTTATCTATTGCACTGTATTCTAAAGCATTAAATTGTCATCTAGTTACCCAGTTCTCTCACTTTTAAAAACTGTTTCTCTATGGGGTACTTCCAACAGTGGCCACAGAAGAAATAAGTTTATACTTGAGATACCCACTTCTATTAAGTATATTTACTTGATATGCAGCTTAAGACGTATAATGGGCAATTTGGAAATGGTCAGGGCTAGGATGTAAATTTGGCAACTGCTAGTATACAGATGATATCTTAAGCTATAGAACTGGATGGGACCACATAGAGAATTCAAATGGCTAAATAAGAGAGGAGGTCAAAGGGACAGCCTTGGAGACTCTCCATTATTAGAGCTCTGGGAAATGAGGAGCACCCAGATAGGGTTGTGGAAGAAAACTAGTGAAGGCTGATAAAATGATTCTAGGACACAATTACATTGTGTGTGTGTGTGTGTGTGTGTGTGTGTGTAGGGGATTCCCCCACATCCAACAAGCAAGTCTAGGACACCTGCTGGGTGTCCTACAATTCACCTAAATTCGGAGACTATCTTATCTACCCAGAGATAGCATCAGACTTCATAGGTTAAGAACACAGTCTTAGAAGACTACTCCTTGCACCCCCACTTCAGAGGCCAGTCGCATGTCTAGATTGTCATCTGTGCTTCTGACTGACTGGCTATACATTGGAGGTTCCCACAACCCCCCTCCTTGGGTTTGATTAATTTGCTAAAGCAGCTCACAGAACTCAGAGAAACATTTTACTTACTAGATTACGGGTTTATTATAAAAGGATTTAACTCAGGAACAGCCAAATGGAAGAGATGTATAGGGCAAGGTATGGGGAAAGGGCACAGAGCTTCCATGCTCTCTCCAGCCCACACTTTACCCACATCTCCAAAAGTTCACCAACTCAGAAACTCTCAGAACCTTGTCCTTTTGGGGTTTTATGGAGGCTTCATTACATAGGCATGATTGATTAAACCTTTGGCCATTGGTGATTGATTCAAACCTCCAGCCCCTCTCCCTTCCCCACACATCAGGATGGGGCTGAAAGTTCCACCTTCTAATCACATGGTTAGTCCTAGCAACCAGCCTATCCTCAGGTTACCTATGGGTTTTCCAAAATTTATCTCATTACATAACAAAAGACACATGTACCACTCTCATCACTTAGGAAATCCCAAGGGTTTTAGGATCTCTGTGCCAGCAATGGGGAGAAAGACCAAATATTTATCATAAATCACATTACCAGAGCTGGTGTCCCAGAAGCAATGCCAAGGACATATTGCAAAATGTCGTTCAACAGGACAGCGAACATGTCAAAGACTGCCTAGAGCTAGACAAAGTGAGTGATAGTTGAACAATGAATTTAGCTACCTGAAGTAATTGGTAACTTTGCTTAGAGGTACTTCAGCAGGGGGGAATACTTAATTGCGGTGTGTTCAAGAGAGAATGTGGGGTTATAAAGTCAGATCAGGGAGGATAGGGAACAAGTAGTTTTGCTCTAATGGGAATAGGGAAATGAGGCAGTAGCTAGATAGGGGGTATGGATAAATGGAAATTTTACCTTACTCTGTTGTGACGTTTTCAGCATGTTTGTATATTGATGAGTGATTTGGCAGGTAAGGAGAAATTGATAATACAGACAAAAGGGGACAATTCATGGAGTAGAGTCTTTGCTGAATTTAAAGGGGAAGGAATCTTGTGCCCACATGAAAGAGTTGGTCTGAGAAAAATGCAGGAGTAGTAACTCAATGAAACAAGAGGAAGAAGAAGTTATTTGGGATAAGAGTATTTGTCATTTCTTATCTATATCTTTGGTGAATATGGGAAGACAAATCAGCACAATGGAATGTATCCCAGCCATTCCTTTTTTTTTTTTTTT